TCTTTCCCCCACTCCTTTTGGGTGACCGTCCTCCCCCCCGTAACTCCCTGGCCAGCTGTGGCTGAGCCGGGAGCATTTGCACACGCAGGGAGACTCCAGCCTGAAGTGGCAGGAAGCGAAGGCTGCCTTATGTGCAAATGTGGCACGAAGGCAGGTACAGGGCAGCTTCGTTCCTGCACTCTCCGGTGACTCTCTTCCCCTTCCTCCTCTCAGGATGCCCGGGACAGCTCTGGCTGAGCCGGTAGCTGAACACGGGCAGGGAAACCCTCCTCAAGCGAGCGCCAAAGCTCAGGAAAGGCACGCGGGGGGCGGGCAGCAGCTCACTTAAGGAGGGTCTCTCCGCACATGCACACACTCCCGGCTCAGCCACAGCCGGCCAGGGAGTTACAAGAGGAGGAGCGGGGAGGAGAGTGCAGGAGCGAAGCTGCCCTGTACCTGCTTTCACGTAAGGCGGCCTTCACTTCCTGCTGCTTCGGGTTGGAGTCCATAAAAGAAATAAGAGGGGCGGGGCGAACCAGTGATGGGACAGGGAGCCGCGGGTTGCCGACCCCTGGTTTGGCCCAATCAAATATTTCTCTCTTCTTCCCCTGGTTGCAAAAACACTAGGTCAAATGTGACAGTTTAAATTAGAATTGTGCGGAACATTGTGATTGAAACATTCTGCCCCCAAATATCCAATTCTGACCTTTCCCGAGGTATCACAAACTCTTCTGATGTTATTGGAAGTGATTTGACCTTGAAATGGGAATAAATAAGGCATTTGGGGGTCAGAATGTTTCGGCTTTGGAATGGCTTCATTATTTCTAGTTTAGCTGCAGATAGGAAAGGCTACAAGGTAGATTGATGCAGATGCAATGGCTTTATTTATATGTAAAATTAAGTAATCATGTGGCTAACACGGTACATTGGCTCATGGTTTAGTGTTGCGTGAGAAATTAGGGCATTATGGCTTGTGCCACAAGGCAGGGTTTTCAACCATTTAACTTAGTGCATTATTTGAACTTGGCCAGGGCGAGAGAGAGTTGGTTCAGGAAAATTTGAACAAATTCTCAAGAGCTTATTCTTCTGTCCAGATTACTGTGGCATTAATGGTATGTGTGTGTGTCACGACAATTAGCAGCTGGTCATTACTTTTGCTTATAAAAACTGCAATAATTAAAGTTCTGCGCCTAACAAGCAGGTCCTATGTGGCTGGCTGAAAAGATGGTAAGCTTCAGGAAATATTTGCAACCAACAAACCATGACAATTTACTGTTACCTAAATTGATTGCTTTAGGATTGGGATTGGGGCAGGAGAGGGCCAAGGAGGGAGGGAAGGGATCAGCCCATAGGACAGTGATGGCTAACCTTTTTGCCATCGCGTGCCAAAAGCGGGGGGAGTGCAGAGGGGGGGTTCGCACACACGCATGCCTACACCCATAATTCTATGTGCCTCACCCCCGTGCATGTGTGTGCGACCCCTCCGCTTTTGGCACGCGATGGCACAGTGGGCCCAGTAGGCCCGTTTTTCGCCCTCTCCAGGCTCCAGAGCCTTTCTAGGAGCCTGGGGAGGGCAAAAATGGTCCTCCCCACCCCCCGGAGGCCCTCTGGAGGCCCTCAACGTCCTGTTTGCTGACTTCCAGTGGGCCCAAAAGACCTGAAAATCAGCTGGAGCTGAGCTCGCGTGCCCACCAATATGGCTCCGCGTGCCACCTGTGGCACGTGTGCCATAGGTTCGCCATCCCGGCCATAGGACAACCTTCTAGAGAAAATCTAAGGTTGAATACAGGTTGAGATCTTGCCTAGCGAGCACTAACCTTTCTCCAATTCTGGTTCTCATCACATTAGATCAGGGCTATCAAACTCCCGGCCCATGAGCTGGATGCGTCACGTGCTGGCCACGCCCACACCCAGTTTAGCAAAGGGGAGAAAAATCCCGATATGTCATGTGACGCGAGTTTGACACCCCTGCATTAGAAAATGTGCATAGCAATGTGCTGTAATTACATGTCTTCCAAACAAAATGCAGTCAAGCAAGACAAGTCAAATGGAAACATGAGCCTGCTAGATCATGATTTTCCGATGTCAAAGCAGTATTAAGAGGTGTGCTTCCAGCGTAGTGCTCTGAAATCCTTGTAATTAAGAAGAACAGTACTGCTAGTCAAAGACAGACTGAGTTCGTTTTGTTCTCTGTTGCTCCCTTGTGGCTATTTCAAACAACTTGGCATCAGTAGCACCTCCATAGCCCAAGAGCTTGTGTGAAAACATTGATATAATTAATTTTAAAAAAGCTCTCATTGTGTAACAGCACAGGCGCCGTGGCACCAGAGAATCCTTAATTTCCTTTAACAGCTGCCATAGTCTTAACCCAAGTTGAATATTTTACTAGTGGTAACATTTCACATGATCCTACTACTTACTACCCCTTAATTCAAATCCCACATGAGATCTTGAAGAAGGCAGTAGAATTTTTAGAATTAATGCAAGCTTGAGAGATCTTATTTGTATTTTGAGACGCTGTCCGAGACATTGAATGAGATGCCTACAATTGTCCTGGAAATCTGAGTAGCCAACAAAAGACCTTTAAGGGGGTAGGGGAGTCTATGGCTTTGATCATATTGCTCCAAATATCTGTTCTGACCTAGGCTCCCTTAAAAATCAGGAAGCAGAGTCTTGGTCCTGGCAAAACCTCTTTTATTTACACGACTGTGAATTACTTTCATTCACAGTCAGCAAGGTCTGTCCAAACAGTCTTTCAGAGGAATATTTATCAACATACTTTATCTTGCTTGGCAGGCTGCCACGTAACTTGTTTCCAACCGCAGTACAAGGCAAAACTTGGCACAGAGTCTCTGAGTCATGGAAGGAACGAATTGTTTCCTGCAAAAGTCCACTCCTCATTCTCTCTTTTGTTTCCTATGGGAGGGGCCGATCACCTCCAAGGTATGGCTTTACTTCCAAGTCGTCCCTGCTTTCTGAGTTGATCTTGTCTTCTGGCAGCTCTGTGCATGCGTGCACTGGGAACGGGGTCCAGCTGTTCCTCTGCCTCACTGCTGTCTACCTCCCGCTCTGCCTCCGAAGCAGAGTTCTCATCCAAGCTTTCCCCAGCCCCCAGGACTGGCCCAAGGTCCTCCCCAACCTTCTCACTGTCCGACTCTACTGTCAGCTCTGCTGGCAGGCCACATCATCATCTTAAAATGGCTAAGATTGGAAAACACTTTAATAGGGCTTCACTATTACAGATTTTATGTTAGGTTTTAGACCTAAACTCAACACGAAGATTAGAGATGGAGCAAATTAGTCTCTCTGGCCAAAGGAAGATCATTTCTTATCTTCCCAGCCTGCTGATCAAGGTGTGCAAATTTTACAAAGCAGAAACTTCCTAAGGAACAGACCATGTTCCTTAGCCATGACAAGCTGCTTTTGAGTTTCAAGCCTACTAGCAATAACTGTCCCCCCTGGGAGAAAAAACATTAGCAATTGGTAGAGGATAAAAACAATTTCTCCTCCCCCAAAGCCTCACGTGAGCTAATATATAACCAAAACCATACCAATTGGCTCAGTTCCAGAAGAGGCAATTATGTAAGCTGAATTGCCTGATTTATCAGTGCCATGTTTATCTACAACTTCTCTCATCCTCCCCCATTTGGACCTAACTCAGTATCTCTCACAGTACCTGATCTTACGTGTTAAAAGACTAAATGCAAACTAAACACACATACTAAATACACATACACAAAACAATTCAGACAGAACCCACAAGCGTTTGTCACAAGATGTCCGTGCAACACAATAGGGAGAGAAAGGAACAAGGTACAAGATCAACCACATGGTACACTCTGCCATATATCAAAAGCATTTCGAAAGCAGTAGCTCCAGACATCTGCAAGTGGGATTGCACACCGCCCAGAGGCTACCATAAGAGGATAAATCATGCATTGCAAAGATTGCCTTGGAGAGGGGAGATATTTTTAATGTAATCTACCAGATCCTCTGCATGGATTGCCGCTGTGACTAAGGACAGACAGGAAGGAAGCTGACAATCAGATTGCAAGAACGCAAGTGAGTGGTCAGACAAGGTGAACCCAACTCATTGGTAGCCTTACATTGCGACAAACAAGGGCATACATAACAGTTTTGCAGATTGTTGGATAAGCGGATATAAAAACAGCCAGGGAAGTGATTGAAATGGGCCTCTCACCAGTGAACAGGAGTGCTGATTTACCACCAGCTTACCAAGTACTTAGGAGGTGGGGGCTTGACAGCACAAGGAAACAACTTAATAGCCAGCCATCAACACCCCAGTCAACAACTAAAAACACACACACAACCAAGCACCATATAAATATACAGAGAATAGCCCAAAGCACACAGTCTGCTAGAGGGAAGTTCCCTGAGGATGGGCTCCAACACGAGTCCAAAGTTTGGAGAACTAAACTTTTTTATCCTAGTGACTGACCCAGATTGGGCCCTAAATACACATGCTATCACAATGGATATTAATAATACTACACATGCCAAGTGTCCCAATATTGGAGTTCATAAAGAGCTCCCTTGGTGAATATGAGGCTTCCTACCTCACTCAAAGAAAGCTTCAGGATTTTTCAATTTTCAACATAGAGACACAAAAACACATATATCTCCATCACTTGGCTATGCTGAGGTGGATAGGAGTTAAGAGTTTGTTATTTTCTCAGTGTTAGGTGTATTAGAATGTAAGAAAACACAATGACGTTTGGGCAAAATAAGAGACAATGTTCTCGACGATATTAAAATAATGTTAAGAAAAAGTACCATGATGGTGCAAGAAAGCAGGAAATCACAATTTCCCCCCAAACACCATGTTATAAGGTAAGGTAAAAAAATACACCCTGTATTTCTTCACTTCCCAAATTATGATATTAAACAGTTCTTGAAAAATTTGGGGCAGAATTCTAGGTCAGAAAGAAAACCAAGCCTAACCCCACCAGAATGTCATTGTGTGATTTTTTTTTTCACAATCCACAGCATCAAAGCAGACATTTATATAAAGAGGCTTTATTTATGTACATAGGAATGTGACGTTCACCACTCTCCTTACAAAGAAATCTCTGAATTGGACAAATAATCTAGAAGTTTCTGCACTTTAATCCAATAAATTTTCATGTATTTACATTCAAGTTTACATTATGTACTTCAAGTTCCATATTGGAAGCCCCTGGAAGATTTCAGCTTGCCTCTTCTTAACACAAGAATATGTTTGGTGAGGGAGAAGGAACATCTGGAGAACATTTGATGGATAGTCTGTCCAACGGTCCACCAGTTGAAACTGAACCGAGGAAACCATTTTTAAGGGGCTTCTCTTTCTGTTAGGTGAGTGTTCCTCCTATCACCACCCAAAACATCTATGGCTGGATGCAAAATTCTCCTCTACCTTTCCAATTTACGGATGAAATCACTCTTGGCAATTTCTTAGGTTTTTTTCTTATCATTCATCTGGGCCAGGGTTATCTAAACATTCTTCTTTTATTTGCCACAATCCCTGTCTTGAGTACCAAAGTGGAGTGCTGTTTAGGGAAGGGCAGTGGCATCCGTGATTTCTCCATTTTGGTAGCGTTTACAACCCGAGAAGATCAGAAACCCTGATCTTTTCTTCTAACGCAGCTGGGATTTCAGTGCCTTGAGAAATATTGTTCCCGCATCCTGTTGTTCGAAAGACAGGCTATAGCAATCCTATGTGCATTGGCTAGTTCATCATAATCAATACTGCAATTTCATTTTTTAAAAAAAAATTACAATAGAAAAATAGTCCATAGTTCGCTAATATGAAAACAAAGAAACAAACATGCCACAAAAATCCAGTTTAGGATGCTTATTATTCTTGCTTATTCCAACAGGTAAGTTCTCTGTGCAGGGTGAACATCTGGCAATATTAATGCCATTTTCTTCTTTTATGGAAAACGTAGATTTAGCTTTCCCAGTTATTCCAGTTTCAGTATAAATATCCCTCCTCCTGCCTTATCAAAGTCTTCATCTCAGTGTGCTTCTAAGATATGCAGGGCAGTATCCTGAGGAACCTGAAGAACAATAGATGGTCCAGTTTGTTCTTCAGACAGATGTTCTTTCATCTGTCCAGAGAACTCTGAGGTGGTTTCTTGGATCTTATGAAATGGGAAAAGATGTTTTAAGCTGGTTCAAAATGGAGCCATTCTTCATATTCGGAGCGTAAGAAACAAAACTTGGCTACCGGAGCCTCTGGAAATATGGTCACATGAATAAAAACATCTCCATTCTTCATGTTGTTTCTTTTGTGGAACCAGTAGCAGAAAACTGGGCAGGCACCCCATCTAGTTCAGATTCACGAATAAAAATCACTGCATCTCCACTGACATTTATTAGACACTGGGCCTGCAGCAACGAAGAAGGGATATTCAATTATATGCCTCATGGACTTTGAAACTGGCAGTTTCTGATAACTTACAGAGACTTATAAAATGTGGTGTGGTTTCGGCAGCTTCACAAGTTCTAGATATAGAACTGGGGGGGGTGGGATATACATGATAGCAATAGCCCTATATGGGATTCAGCAAATAGTTAGAGCAATTATCAGGATAAAGAGGTTTTGGATTAGTGTTCGTGTACTTTTCTGTCTTTAAATTTTTTTAATGATTTTTACATAATTTATAAATTTATAAATTACAAAATTTATAAATTGCCACCACCATCTAAGGGGTAAGTGATGGTAAGTGATGTCCAGAATTCATGGCCATCCTGGTTGCAGAGAGGAGGGATTGGTTATGCTTGCAAAGTCTCAAAGGGGTAGATCAATGTTCCTCAACGTGGCAACTTTAAGATCGATGGACTTCAACTCCCAGCATTCCCCCGACAGCATAGCTGGCTGGGGAAATCTGGAAGTTGAGGTCCACACATCTTAAAGTTGCCATGGTTGAGAAACACTGAAGCAGACAGTGACCGCTATGCGGTCAACAGATATCCAGGTCTGCTTTAAGGACTTGAATTAGAGATGATGGAATTTATATCACATTTATCTCAAATTAGGCGTGGGTCTGTAGGTGGAAAGAAAATAATTATTTTGGAGTCTCCATTTGGAGTCTCAAAGCTGCATACTTTTTAGAGATGCATGAATTATTTAAAATTTAAATAATTTAAAATTATTTAAAAGCCTGGTGGCTCAGCAGACTAAAAGCATTGTGATTAACACCAGCTGTCTGCAATTACTGTAAGTTCGAATCTCACCAGGCTCAAGGTTGACTCAGCCTTCCATCCTTTCTAAGGTAGGTAAATTGAGGAGCCAGATTGTGGGGGCAATAAGCTGACTTTGTATAAATATACAAAAGGATGAAGGCTATTGCTTAACACATTGTAAGCCGCCCTGAGTCTCCGGAGAAGGGCGGCATATAAATCAAATTAAAAAAAAATGTTAACAAAACATTGTTCATATTTAACCCAGGTAAAATGCAAAACCTGGTTCCTAATCTAAGCAGAACCTATCAGTTTTGGGGTAAATAACAGATCTGGCATGCCCAGGACGACATGCCAGCCTATTGAAGAAATGATTAATCCATAATTTAAAAGCTACATCCCAACAGCTTAGGCTATCTAATGCTTTGGATTTATTTCCAAAAATGTTTTTGGAGTATGAAGGAGCATGAGCCTAGCATTGATCAATACCTATTAAAGCAGCTGCATCTTGGATTGCAAGGACAGCAGACATGCAACCCTAGAAAAAGATACTGCTGTTTTAAGTGTAGCAAACAGGGCTACCGGTATGTCCATGCCGCTACACACTAGGAAGGACCGTTTGCAAATTATTTCTGAAGCACTGGATGTTGTTTTGCAAACTCACGGGGGCAAAGGCCTCTTCCTTTTGGTTCTGAAAATTCCAGAAACAAGTCATGAATGGTTGAATTTGGCCATCATCTTCTCCGCAAAACGTTGTGGGCTTTGGAGTCACCACAACGAACCTCCAGATGGACGCCAAGAGGGTTTGGTAAGGCTAGCATATTTACCTGGTTTTTGTTTGGGTTTTCCATAAACACACACTGCTTCATGATGTAGGAGACTACCGCATTTCCCCCAAGTGCTGCCACATGAGCTCGGACCATCGCAAACACCTCAGCGACAAATGCGTGCAGGAAGCCACTCACACCACCTTCCTATAAAACATATACAAATAAATTGTTTGAATATAGAACAACAGAGTTGGAAGGAACCTTAAAGGTCTTCTAATCCAACCCTCTGCTCAAGCAGGAGACCTTATACAATTTCAGACAAATGGTTGACCCATCTCTTCTTAAAAACGATGGAGCAGCCACAACTTCTGAAGACAAGTCATTCCACCGATTAATTGTTGTCATTTTGAGGAAATTTCTCTTTAGTTCCAGGTTGGATCTCTTTTTAAGGATCTTCTACCAGTTACTTCTTGTCCAGCCTTCAGGTGCTTTAGAGAATAGGTCAAACCCCTGTGTGTGACAGCCTCTCAAATTTTGGAAGGCTGCTATCATGTCACTCCTAGCCCTGCTATTCGTTAGACTAGACATCCCCAGTTCCCTCAATTGTTCATTGTATGCTCTAGCCTCCAGCCCCTTTCCTCCCAATCACCTTTGTTGCTCTTATCTGCACTTTTTCTACTCTCAACTGAAGTGAAAAAAAAAAAGTGGTTTAAACATGTAGGCCTTCAAAGTTGTTCTAATTAATTGAGAGCTAAGTGTCCATGGTCTCAAAAGAAATAACCTTCTCAAATTGAACTCATAAAAAATGGTTGGGATATTTACACTTCAGCTTCCCCAGTGAGAAAATTTATTATCAAGATAAACAGGTTACAATCACAATAAAGAGAGAGATCTAGCTCTTAAAAAAAAAAAAAAAAAAAGATTCATTTTGTAACTTTTGTGGGAAAGACTGATATATGCTGTAGCTCTGCTACATGCAGAAAAATTTAGGGCCGTGATGGCGAACCTATGGCACGCGTGTCAGAGGTGGCACACGTAGCCATATCAGTGGGCATGCCAGCTCAGCTCTGGTGTGCACGCGCGTGCCAGCCAGCTGGTTTTCGGGCCTTCTGGGCCCACCAGAAGTAGGGAAACAGGCTGTTTCCTGCCTCCGGAGGGCCTGGGGGGGGTGGGGGGGGAGGCCCGTTTTTCTTTCTCACCTGGCTCCAGATCCTCTCTATGCATCTGGGGAAGGCAAAAACAGCCTTCCCCACCCACTTGGAGGCCCTAAACGGCCTGTTTCACAACTTCTGGTTGGACAGGAAGTAACGTTTTTTGCTGTCCTCAGACTCCAGAGACTCCATCACGTACCGGGGGGGGGGGGGGGGGGGGAGAGGGAGTCACACGTGCATGCGCAGGGTGCATAGAATTATGGATGTGGGCACACGCTTGTGTGAACCACCACCCCTGCTGGCACACGATGGCAAAAAGGTTAGCCATCACTGATTTAGGGTCAGCCTGAAGATGGAAAAGATTGCCCAGAGAACAATAAATTATAAACCATAAGACATATGAAAAGGTACTCAGAGTGATGGAGTCCCACAATACCAAGCAGGCTACAGGCTCCCATACCACTGAAAATCATAACTGTAGGAGAATGGGTGGCAGAGCCTGAGGGTGGAGTCAAGAGAGTCATCAGCCTAGAGTCACTATGTAACTACAAATGGATGAAGTCCAACCCCTCTTGAATTCCACTGACCTTTATCTAGCACCAAAACAGTGGTAACTGTTAGTTGATTTCTAGGCATTAACATGGGTAATAATAAATCAATTTAATTGGAACTTCAGGTGTGATCCTGGTCTTTTGCACTTGACAACAACTGATGTTAAATGGTGGTGCTCTCTGAGCTTGTTTTCTTGCAGGTGTTTCATTAATAATGAAGGGCAATGAAATATCTGGAAGAAAACCACCAGGTTGAGAGAGCACCAAGGATACCCCAGTTCAACCCAGAACTTCAAATATTCTATAGATCTTAAATTGAATCTGTACTGATAATTCATGTTCTCTCCTAGTTGAGAGCCTTCAGATCTTCATGGCAACCAGCGTGGAGTACTTCTTTTCCATCCATGTTACTTTGCTAATGTAGAATTTAGATAATGTCTATAAGGATATCGTGTCAAAAGGGGGACAAGAAATTGCAACTTGACTAGCATTCAATTTAAATAGTTCTCTACAGGAGAACTAGCAGACGAGATCCACAGCAACCTCTTCTACTGGAAAGAGTGTGGCAGGGTAGTCCCATTGGGGTGAGAAGGCTCCTTAGATACTCTGGAGCAGGGGTGTCAAACTCGATTTGAGTGCCGCATCAGGGTTGTGTTTGACCTTGGGGGGCCGGGGTGGGCGTGGCCAGCTCGATGTCACTCGTGTCGGGGACGACTATGCCAGTGAAAACGGGCTCCCGAGCTCTGTTTTGGCTGTGATGGCCTCCTGCAACCCTCTGCCAGCGAAAACGGAGCTTGGGAATGCCGCCTGTGGCCCTTGCAAGCTCCATTTTTGGCTGCAATGGCCTCCTCCCGAGCTCTGTTTTTGCTGACAGAGGCACTGTGGGCTGGTTCTTCGCTGTTTACAGGGTGGCCCCACGGGCCAGATCTAAGCATCTCGTGGACCGGATCCGGCCCCCATGCATTAAGTTTGACACTCCTGTTCTGGAGCCTTGCCACATTTCAGACCTAAGTCCATGGTATACTCCAAACCTGAACTCAATCCTGCCTGCAATTAATCATGGCAGAAATACACTTGTCAGCTCACCTCTCGTAGAGAAGTGGTTTCTCGTATGAAGAACATGTTGATGATTCCAAGGTATTTCGTTATTTTTGCCCCGGGGATGAAAGAAAGCGGTGTCATCTTCACAACTGGCACAGTGGAGTTCATTCCCATGGGTCCCAAACGGTTACGGCACTGTCCTTCGGTCAGTGGACTTGGCTTGTCAAGGGAGATGGCTACACAGAGCAAAGAGAGAGAGGGAGATAAGCTCAACTGGAACTCCGGGCAAACCGGCTAGAGGCAGCACCAACAGTGACCCTTCCACATGGGTGTGAGAGAGCTGGGTGACCACATTCAGCTGCCTGTGATGCTCAGCCAAAGAAAGCGAATTATCATGCAGCACATGCAAGTGAGAGGCCAGAAGCTTGATTGGGATTTATTTTGGTAGAAAAGGATCATTCCTGCAAAAGGAAATACGGAGGCCAGCAGCTGCACAGACAGATGATTGGTTACGAAGTGGATCTACAGAAAAGGGTGGGGTGGGGGTGAGAGGGTAGAGTGGAAGGATTCGAAAAGGGAGTCAAAATTTGATGAACATTTTCTGCAAGAAGGAATGACAAAAGTCTACAGGAAAGAGTGTGAAAGTTGACATGTTCCACTTTTTTTTTTTTTTTTTTTTGGCTGTTTTTGCAAATTTGGTCTAAGCTCTTCCATCTAAATCGTCATCTTGAGCAAATAAAGCAAAACCTAGGGAAGGACTTAAATGAGAATTTTTTTTAAAAAAACAACAAAACTCACCATGGATTAATTCGGTAATTACAGCCATGCAGGTCACATAGGGAATCCCTGCATGTTATGAGTAATTTCACTGCGGTATACATACATATTCTGCCATGCAGAGTATGTATATTTTTGAGGGTGGGGTGGTGGGTGGGGTTACAATTCACAAGCCTATTGGCCACCGGTACATATGTTGGCAATGATTCGGGGAGCCGCGCGCTCCAAAATTAACCATTTTTGGACAGACCCCGTGCGTCTGCAGCTTTCACACTCGGGACACTGATTTTTGCAACGCCACTATTGAATACGAAGCTCTGCCCTTTGCCACTGAGAGATCAGAATCTAGGCTCCCAATGATCAAAATGGGGTAGAAACGGCTGCCTACTTGTCTTAATTGATCCACGCCTTATGGTTTGAGCTTTCAGTTTAATGAATTCTATCCAGCTGTTGCATCTGTCTGCAAAGGAACTGTAATCAACTGAAGTGGCTGGAAACACAGACAGAGAAACAAAAGGGGAAAAAAAGAAAAGAAAAGGAAAATATGGATGACGCCCCTTTGCCCATTGAAGCCTTCCTTCTGATGAACCCGTCATCTTGATTTGTATCCCGCCTTTATTATTTTTATCAATAACTCAAGGCGGCGAACGTATCCAACACATCTTTCTCCTCCTATTTTCCCCATTAACAACCACCCTGTGAGGCGAGTTGGGCAGAGAGAGAGAATGACTGCCCCAAAGTTACCCAGTCGGCTTTAATGCCCAAGGCAGGATTAGAACTCAGTGTATTGAGCAAGTTATTGGTTTTCCCAAGCCTTTCAATGAAATTTGAATGGAGCTAAGGTAGTGCATTATTTGTCTAAATTTGCGTATCTATATAAATTAGTCACGGGGTGCGATGGCTCAGTGGTTAAAGATGCTGACCTTATCAGCGAGAGAGCTGACAGCCCAGGTTCGAGACCCGAGTGCTGCGCAATGGGGTGAGCTCCTGTCCTCATCCCAGCTCCTGCCGGGATGCAGTTCGAAAGCATGCAAACACGAGTAGATTAATAGGTACCACTTCAGTGGGAAGGTAACAGCATTCCGTGTGCCTTTGGCATACAGTCATGCTGGCCACAGGGCCATGAAAAATGTCTTCGAACAACGCTGCCTCCCTCAGCCAAGAAATGGAGATGAGCAACGTGCCCGAGAGTCGAACCTGACTGGCCAGGGAAATCTTTACTTTTACGTACAATTTGGTCATGCTTATAGGGAATTGTGTATGTGTGTGCGTTTGTGTGTATCTCCTATAAGAATGACCAAATTCATTAAGAGCACTTGCCCATTATGAGCGTATTTCACAATTATTTGCAATAATTCAGAGCTTCGTATTTTCCCAGAAGCCTACAGTCAATTCTAAAGTGTTTCCAATTTGGTCAAAGATTTCTATAAATTGGTATCACTAAAGTCAGCACAGGGACTTCTGAAGCCATTTTTATTTCAATTGTCTGCCATAGGTTGATGCCAAGAGGGCCAGAGGAGGGTTTCTTTTCATATATGTACATTAAACATATTGAATAAGTGATTTAAATCAGGGGTCTCCAACCTTGGCAACTTTAAGATTTGTGGACTTAAGACAAAGCTGGCTGAGGAATTCTGGGAGTTGAAGTCTACAAGTCTTAAAGTTGCCAAGGTTGGAGGCCTCTGATTTAAAGCACCCTTATGAAAAATTATATAGGGGTGGGGGAATTGTTGAATTTCTGAATAAATGTTAAATACCTTGTATCAACTCAGACTAAGTAAATATGTTTAGTAAATATGTTGAGCTAGACTAATTTAGAATAAGTGATATGAAATATCCAAGAAAGTTAAATCAGATGTAATTTGGCAAATAGAAAAGACATTCAGATTAATCCTTATTACACACTGTGAAAATCTAAAGCAAGATATAAAGTAATTGGCACAAATTGGACCAATGGAGAAAGTTAGACACCGTTCTGACAATTTTTAGGATTCAGGTAAACATTCCTGATAACATTCATATTTAAGATTATTGAGCTTGGAATATTAATGGCACTTTCTCCCAGCAATGCCTAGTCAACTAAGGCAACAGTTCTAATGTATGAAGTGGAGGAATGAGCAAGATAAATAAATACTTCTTGCAAATCCATCATTCAAATTTATGAGTTTACTCAGCCAATTCATCAGATCAGAGCATTTTGTCAAATCCATTTAAAATTTTATATTTTACCTTGAAAGGCCTGGTTCATAAACTCCGTGTGAGATTATTTTATGATACTGGAGCATCTCATTTTTTTCAGTATGTTTTATTTTCAAATAAAAACTATCTAGATAACTGTTCGTAGACAGTCATCAAAACTGCTAATGACGACTGCGTGATGGGAAGTCATATTGATATACTCACAGCTCTTTTACTATACCCATCCCTGTCCTTTGTTAAAAAAAAAAAAATCCAGGGGAATTCAAAATTATATTAAGGGAAGATGAAAGTCAATAACCAACATCATTTCAGAAAATTGTTCTGGACAACAATACATTGAAACCCATTGTTGTTTCCAATACGTATTTTGGATACCAATAAGCCATATCAGAGCATGCTTTCCAAGGTAACTAGTGTTTGGAAGATTTAGTGTTATATCTCAAATGTATTCCCAACAAATCCAGGAATGCATTTCCTGTTCTGGCTTTCAGCTAAATCAAGTAAACTCACCTCTTTGACCAGCTGGTATACCTGCGTGGGAACTTGCATTCTCCAGGTCCTCTAATAAGACAAAATGAAGTCCACCAATATGATATAGGCAGTGTCAACTCTATTAATTCAGATTTCTTTTCATATCAGTTTTCAGCAGCAATCTGCTTAAAATACCCCTTTAATCAACTGAAGTCACTGAATATCAATGTTCAGGACCTATTAACCACAACATGATGAGTGAATGCTCTATTATATTGAAGTTCAATTTGGCAATGAACGTAACGGAAGCTACATCTGCATGCTATTTTTATGGAAAAAAATAGGGACTTTTTTTCCTGCAGGGTTAGAAACCATCCATGATCCTGATTACATTGCAGTTTCCTGCCATTTTTATTTGCAAAAATATGTATTTTTGAAGGTAAAACTGAAGCATACCCTCTAAAAAAAGGCACATCATAATAAAAAATATTGTTAAACAAACAACGAAAATGCTAAATATTCCCTCTAAAGCTCAGCCCTGCTGATATATGTGACAGGGTTACAGGTAATTCTCAACTTACAACCACAATTGAGCCCAACACTTTAGTTGCTAAGCAAAACAGTTGTTAAGTGAGTTTTGTCCCGTTTTATGACTTTTCTTGGCACAGTTGTTAAGTGAATTACTGCACTTGTTAAATTAGTAACACGGTTGTTAAAGTAAATCTGGCTTTCCCCCATTGACTTTGGTTGTCAGCAATTGCAAAAGGGGATCACATGACCCCGGGACGCTGTAACGATCATAGATATGAGTCAGCTGGAAAATATCCAAATTTTGATCACATGACCATGGGAATGCTGCAACGGTCATCAGTGTGAAAAACAGTCAAAAGTCACTGTTTTCAGTGCCGTTATAACTTCGGTCACTAAACAAATTGTTGTAAGTCGAGGACTACCTATAGTCTATATCAGTGATGGCTAACCTTTTTGCCGTCGCGTGCCAAAAGCAGGGGAAGCACTGGGGGGGGGGTCACGCGCATGCGTGCCCACACCCATAATTCAATGGCCCCCTGTGCCCTGCCCCCCCCATTCACGACCCCCCCCGCTCCCCCCGCTTTTGGCACGCGACGGCAAAAAGGTTACCGGTGGGCCTGGTAGGCCCGTTTTTCGTCCTCCCCAGGCTCCAGAGGCTTTCTTGGAGCCTGGGGAGGGTGAAAATGGCCTCCCCCCCCCCAGAGGCCCTCCAGAGGTCCGAAATGGCCCGTTTCCTGACTTCCAGTTGGCCCGGAAGGCCATTTTTTGCCCTCCCCAGGCTTTCTTGGAGACTGGGGAGGGTGAAAACAGCCTTCCCCACACCCTCCCCTGGAGCCCCTCCAGAGGCCAGAAACGGCCCGTTTCCCAATGTCTGGTGGGCCCGGAAGGCCCAAAAATCAGCTGGCCGGTGCGCACATGCGTGCTGGAGCTCAGCTAGGACAACGCTCATGTGCCCACAGATATGGCTCCGCGTGTCACCTGTGGCACGCGTGCCATAGATTCGCCATCATGGGTCTATATCAAGTATAATAAACTCATCATATTAAAATATTAAAACATTTTTATTAAGTTAAATCAATCAAAGTCTGCCTTTTGGGGGTTATGTTCTGGTCTGCAGCCTCCTCAAGCTGTCACTCCCTAGAATAGGGAGTGAACAAGACTAGTGATACTCAACCCAGTTACTACTGGGAATTGTATACTGTCTCTCCTTTGTGGCTAGCTAATAGAGGACCTGCCATCTCCAATTAACGTGAATGAGGGAGGAAGTAAAATTATCTGGCCTTTTACTTCACTGATTCTAGTCTCATCTTTCTCCACGGATTCACTTTGAATTCCTTACTTGGCTGCATCTCTCTGCCCACCAAGAAATGTGCCATTTCAGCCTTCTGGAGGAAGTTGACAATCCCCACAGGTAAAAACTCCTGGCATACAGGAAGATTCTGTTATCAAGTGGCACATATTCATGATCCTTTCTAAATAACTGACTTTCCTTGGTGCAGGAATTCTGCACTGTAGCTGGAAAAAAACCAGGTAGTCCTTGATTTATGACCACAAATGAGCCCCAAATTTCTGTTGCTAAGTGAGGCAGTTGTTAAATGAGTTGTGCCTCATTTTACTCCCAAGTCCCAGCTGATAGGGAGGAAATGGGGATTTTGCAGTAACCTTCCCCTGGATTGGGGAGGGAATGGAGATTTTACAGTATCTTTCCCCTGCCACGCCCACCAAGCCATGCCACGCCCACCAAGCCACGCCCACAGAACCGGTAGTAAAAAAAATTGAAACCCACCACTGGATGATGACAGAGGCGATGTTCAACCTTCAAGCAAATCATTTGCCTTCAGCAGCAGATGGCTAAATTATATTCTGCTGTCCAAGGTGCTGATCTTAAAAAAGACCAAATAAGCCTAAGCACCAAGGAAGACTTCTGTTTTAGCTAGCAGCCATTCCCGCAGAATAAAACTAGTCCTTGATTTACGACCACAACTGAGCCCCAAATTTCCATGGCTAAGCAAGACAGTTTTACGCGAGTTCTGCCCCAATTTAGGCACAGTTGTTGTTGTTGAAAATCTTGCCACAGTTGTTAAGGAAATCATTGCAGCTGTTAAGTTAGCAACACAGTGGTTGAGTGAGCCTGGCTTCCCCCTTGACTTTGCTCGTTAGATCGTCAAAGGTGATCCCACGACCCTGAGACACTGCAACCGTCATAAATATGAGTCGGTTGCCAAGCGTCTTGAATTTTGGTCATCACATGACCGCTGTCGTAAAAATATCCCAATAAAAGAAACAGGAGACTATAAAAGAACAAGAGCCTTGGTAGTACAGTGGTCTAAAGCACCCTGTTATTAAGATCAGCTGCCTGCAATTACTGCAGGTTCGAATCTCCCCAGGCTCAAGGTTGACTCAGCCTTCCATCCTTTCTAAGGTAGGTAAATTGAGGACCCAGTTTGTGGGGGCAATAAGCTGACTTTGTATAAATATACAAAAGGATGAAGGCTATTGCTTAACGCATTGTAAGCCACCCTGAGTCTCCGGAGAAGGGCAGCATATAAATCAAATTAAAAAAAAAAAAGGAGACAGCAATCCAATAAACAATAATTCTTACTTAAAGATTCAGAGGTTGGTTTCATGAGCAATTTGGAACATGAATAGCCATCGTAACACAACTTGCATCAGTGACCCATTGCAATGAGGATCAGAGACGATAGCTAAGTCCAGCGAGGAATATCTACGGCCAATGGCCCTGATCTGAGACCCATCTTCTTCTTTTATACCCTTATTCTGACAGCCCCTCAGTAAATGGAATTTTACTGACGTTACTTCCTTGTATTCCATACTGACCCTCAGTTGGCACATACTTGCGTGTACATGTGAAATCTCCTACCATCTGCTACTTTTGCTCCTTATTTCTCAACGCTTCTAATGTTCCTAGTCTAAAATAGCCTCTGAAACTATTTACTTTGCAAGTACATGTTACATGAAAGCTCAAACTGCCCAAGGAGCTGCTGATCCAGTTCTACAGAGGAATTATTGAGTTTGTCATCTGCACCTCCATAACTGTCTGGTTTGGTTCTGCAACCCAACAAGACAGACACAGACTTCAGAGGATAATTAGAACGGCAGAAAAAACAATGGCTACCAACCTGCCTTCCATTGAGGACCTGTATACTGCACGAGTCAAAAAGAGGGCTGTGAAAATATTACAGAGCCCTCGCATCCTGGACATAAACTGTTTCAACTCCTACCCTCAAAACGACGCTATAGAGCACTGCACACCAGAACAACTAGACACAAAGACAGTTTGTCCCTGAATGCCATCACTCTGCTAAATAAATAATTCCCTCAACACTGTCAAACTATTCACTAAGTCTGTACTACTATCAATGTTCTCATCATTCCCATCACCCATCTCCTTCCACTTATGACTGTATGACTGTCGCCTTGTTGCTGGTATCCTTACGATTTATATTGACTGTTTCCCCTATGACTATCATTAAGTGTTGTACCTTATGATTCTTGACGAATGTATCTTTTCTTTTATGTACACGAGAATGTATGCACCAAGACAAATTCCTTGTGTGTCCAACCACACTTGGCCAATAAAGAATTCTATTCTATTCTGTTAAAATTGCTTTAGCATAGCAGATTACAAATATCACGTTATTCTTAGGAGATCATTCTAGCTGGCACTCCAAGATATAGCAATTCATTTGAGGCCTACTATCATTTTGAGGCCTGTATAATTTTAGCAAAATCGCAACCCAGTTTTCTTTTTCTCACACCATGGAGATGCTGCAACAGTCGTAAGTGTGAAAAATGGTCATATGTAACTAAACGCTTAACCCTGTTGGCGTTTAGAAGAATATACATTTGAATAATGTTTGTGCCTAATGCTGAACTGAAATCAATAATCACGTTCTTCCTAAAAAAAAGTAAAGATGAGTTGTAAAACGAGCCTTGATAGTACAGTGGTTTAATGCACCCTGTTATTAACACAGCTGCCTGCAATTTCTGCTGGTTCGAATCTCTCCAAGGCTCAAGGTTGACTCAGCCTTCCATCCTTTCTAAGGTAGGTGAAATGAGGACCCAGACTGTGGGGGCAATAAACTGACTTTGTATAAAATATACAAAGGATGAAGGCTATTGCTTAACGCATTGTAAGCCACCCTGAGTCTCCGGAGAAGGGTGGCATATAAATCAAATTAAAAATAAATAAAAAAATAAATAAAAAAATAAAATAAAAATAAAAAAAATCAATGGTACATTGCCCTGCTGTCAAAATTACGTTTAGATATCTTGGGGTCTAGAAGCTGAGAGATTCACCTGATGAACTAACTGTCTGAACAAAAGTTTGCTGCACTTCCTACAGTTGATGCTAAATGAGCTATTTGCTGACATGACACCACGTACCCATTTACTGGCCAAAAGTTTTTTTTTAACAAGTACAGTTTTACACAACTCAGGAACATATTTAACTCTAACAAGTTTTCAGAAAGACAATAACAGAACGAAACAAGAGAGAGCTACCTACTCGATTAAAAGATTAATCAAGAAAAAGAGCCTTGGTAGTACAGTGCTTTAATGCACCCTGTTATTAACACAGCTGCCTGCAATTTCTGCAGGTTTGAATCTTACCAGGCTCAAGATTGACTCAGCCTTCCATCCTTTCTAAGGTAGGTGAAATGAGGACCCAGTTTGTGGGGGCAATAAGCTGACTTTGTATAAATATACAAAAGGATTGAAGGCTATTGCTTAACGCATTGTAAGCCCCCTGAGTCTCCGTAGAAGGGCGCCATATAAATCAAATTAAAAAAAAAAAAAAAAGGCTAAATGGCAATTTAGTGAGGATGCTGCTGAAAGAAAACTCACCAAGCTAACAACAAAAACAGCGTCCAAGTATCAAAGCAGACAGAATTGGGAAACAGTGGACAGTACAAGATTATAAAAGTGTTCTTGCAGTACAGGGATTAGCCACGCTACATACAGTAATGGCCTACTTTATTTTGTTAAAATCATGCATTGTCAGCCATCTTAATCATAATTTACTATGTTATTAAGCTATGTTAGTCTGTTGCAGAAAAAATGTGCAGTGCTCTATTGTCGGATGCAAAAGACCAGGTCCACCTGTGAAGGTTCAATTAAACTGATTTATTGCTAAAAGCCTAATCACAGGAATCTTCTCAACTACCACTGGACACCTTCTTAGCGTTAGATAAGGGTCAACAGTGCACAAAAGGGGTTGGACTTAGTTCTCTTGTGGCCACGTAGGGATTCCAGGCTGATCCCCCTTTTCACTCCACCTCCAGGTTCTGCCATTCCTTCACCTACGTCTATCGTTTTAAAAGCTAAGGAATTTATCATGGTATACATCGTCATGGACAGGGTTTAATTATTCTCCTTTAGTAGATAAGTAGAAATATAAACATAAATAAAGTCAGTGACAGCTTAATTATCTAAATATTTGGAAAAGAGGGACTGGGATAACTCAAGACCAGTAAGAAATGATCTGGGTCGGTTGATTAAGCTAACTACCAAGCTGTAATTCAACAACTTCACATTCAATTAAACATCTTTTTTTTCAGAGTACTGGATTTATCAGAATAGCACTTCTATGTCTGATAAATTCTACTCTTAAGCTTGTCTAATCTAAGCTTATGGTTTCAAGTGATTAGATGTTACTCAGATCTCAGAGTAAAGCATACCCAGTGATCTAATGAGGATTTGGGACTTGAGTTCAAGGTATCCCTATGAGGACGATACTATTTTGCATAGCAATTCAGCTAGAAAAGTTTGCTTGACTTCATAAGGATTTTTGAAAGATGGTTAAACAGATCAATTGAAACTTCTTTTAAAACTCCACATGAAATTATGCAACGTTTTGTAATATAGAATAAAACGCACATATAATATTCCAAAGAAGAAGATACTAAGCTATGAATAATGGTACCTCCCATTTTACTTTTTATCCTTTTCCAAATCTTTCAGAACTGAGTTCACATTTTAAATGACCTTTCTACTGCAATGAAAATCTAACTTCCCTTGATCTCTTTCCATCCTATCAGCAAACATTCAAACTATGGAATATTTATTCCAATCTTCATCTGCATTACTTCATACTAAATCCATTTTTGGAGATATAAAAGAATTCTTTTGGAGCTCTCTACGTTGAAGGTTCTATCTTCTGAATTAGAATAAAGAATGGGCTGAAGGAAGAACACTTAATTCTCTTTACAGAAATAAAAAAACTTTAGCTACAATTGTCTCGCTTCTAAAAAAAATTAATTTTCATGTATCCAGACATTGTTGATTCAATTTAGCAGAGATAATTTTCAGATCACTGAGGAATTGCTCCATGTATTCCCAAAATGCAGTTAGCTCAGAGTCAGAATTAACTGGCTGTTTGGCAGCCTCAAAGCAGTTACAGAATTGCAATTAAAAACAAGCAGAAAAATCAACTGTTTCTTTTCATTTGCTCCTTCCTAATATGTTTATTTATTTATTTATTGGTTCGATTTATATGCCGCCCTTCTTCGGAGACTCAGGGCGGCTTACAATGCATTAAGCAATAGCCTTCATACTTTTGTATATACCTGCTTAGTAGGGCTTTTGGCCCCCTCTAAGCGGTGTTCTTTTTTATACAAAGTCATCTTATTGCCCCCACAATCCGGGTCCTCATTTTACCTACCTCGGAAGGATGGAAGGCTGAGTCAACCTTGAGCCTGGTGAGATTTGAACTTGCAGTAATTGCAGGCAGCTGGCAGCTAAGTGCTACTTAACAGCACTTTAGTCCGCTGCACCAACAAGGCTTTTTGTAATTAAAGCAATTTTCCTCAACACACTTTAAGTATACAGTAGCTTGCTTAGCTTTCCTATAGATGAAAAATATCAACATTCAATTCATACTGGGTAACGGTACTAAATCCAAACTGAGTTTGTGGACAAGCAGCAAAGGAGCAAGTGAATGAAACATATAAGGATAAGCATATGCTTTTTTTTTAAGGATAGTTAAAATAAAATCCAACCTTTTGCCGGTGAGAACTGCTGAGGCATGTGAGGATCAGAAGAAAGCTCCAATGAAAATTGCAGCTGTTCTTCGTTGTCTGTGGAAGCTTGAAATAATAAAATGGTAGATAAATATTGATTTTTCCATTAAAACGCAGATGTCCAGAAATCATGGCATCCACGATGGCAAAGAATGAATGTGTACATTCTCAAATGTTTTTTTTTTACCTCTTTGTAGGTTTTTTTCTACAGTTTTAGCTGTTTGCAAAGCCTGGTGTTTATCAAAGGTTATTGCAACAGCCGTAACGGTGACCTGTAATTACAAACATTTAACTGTCAGTTTTTTCATTCATTCATTCATTCATTCATTCATTCATTCATTCATTCATTCATTCCAGTTTCCCTTTAGCTTAGAAATACACATGTGTATTCACCAACACACGCACACGGGATATACATGCATACATGCACGTACACACATGCAAAATTGTTGCATACTTGAAATATATTCCACACAACGTCACAATTTTACAATGAAAAGTTGACATACATAATCTTGTCTATGAAGATTCTCAATCATCCAGGTCATGGTTGACCCAAAGGTGCCTTTTCCAAAAGGAAACTAAAATGTTTTCCAAGGGAAATAAAAACCAAGAAAGTCCAGTTGCCTTTTGGAAAAAGCACCTTTGGGGCATTCATCAACTTGTCTCTTCAGATTTAAATCAGAGATCACTATGAGGCTAGGTACCGTGTTTCCCTGAAAATAAGACCCTGTCTTATATTTTTTTAGCCACCAAAAAAGGCACCAGGTCTTATTTTGGAGGGAAGTCGTTCACTGACTCACCTCACTTGCGCACGTCGCCCCCGGCCTCCTTTTCGCTGTCAGAGGCCTTCAAGAAAGCCTTGCCGGCTGCAGAAGAAATGCGCCGGCAAGGCAGGTGTTGGAGTGTGCAAGGTCTGGCTGCAACTGTCCGAACGTAAGTAGTAGGGCAGCTCCACCCCCGTCCCCACTCTTGCTTAGTTTTTACCTGTGTACCCTGGAGTGGGCAGGGTCTTAATTAGGGCTTATTTTGGGAGTAGGGCTTATATTGGGCGCACATGTAAAAATCAAGGTGGGATTTACTTTTGGGGTAGGTCCTTCCGCAAGGACCTAAAGTCGTGGCTTTTTAAACAACTCATCTGATCTGCGGGGTGTTTTTAATTGGTTTTAATATGGGTTTTAAATTGTGGGATTTTAATTATGCTAAATTAATTATATATTTTTTTATTGTTCTTCGGTTTTTAACCTTTTGTGAGCCGCCCCGAGTCCTTCGGGAGAAGGGCGGCATATAAATTTAACTAAATAAATAAACAGGTCGTATTTTCAGGGACACATGGTAGGTTCCCCCAAAACAGATCCAATTTGACCCGTGTTACTTTCATACAGTCCTGTCCCGATTCAGAATAATGCAAACACTACAGAATGTAAATGGAAACAAGAATTGCCTTACCTGAATTAATTCATCTTCTGGAAGAGCAACAGTAAAGTTGACGTGGCACAGGCAACAAGGGATCATCGAACGGAGTTTAAAATAAAGGCTCTGTGAAATATAAGAAATGACTAATAACTTCCATCTTCTTTTGGGGCAACCGCTTACAAATTTAAGAAGCATCTTCAGCATAGAAGCAAGATGATTCTCGTTCGGAAAATTCTACTCGGTCAATGGGCGTCAGGGTGACTTGGATCAGTCATAAATTAGTGAGAATGGCAAGTTAGCAAAGTTAGAAGCCTCCAAACCCTATGCTCTACATTGTTTTTGCTGTTTTCTTTGAAGTTTCTAAATGCGCGGTTAGCTGCCCAGAATGATGAGAATGAGATGGATGGCTACAGGAACTGTTTAAATGCATAAAAAAACACAAAAGCAATACAAACCCAGTTCTTTGAACCTCCAGGTTTCTGCTCAATAAAGCCTTTTGCAAAAAGATAAATGGAAGTAGCTGAAATTGGTGTCTCGGATCTAAAACATGCAATTTTGCTCATTTTACCCCTTAAAAACCAGGCAGCTGTCACTAAAAAGCAAGGCACCAATTTCACTGCTTCAATTCACTCCCTAAAAAAAACAGGATGAAAAGCCACTGTTGGCCTTGCCATTCAGGGACTCACCACAACCCACATGGCCTTCAGTGGCATCAAACTGTTCTTTTTAGAAATATATTCTCTGCATGCAGGCATGTTGCCCAGCAACACGCAAGTACTCCTTCTGCTCAGCCACCCCCTCATGTCACTGTTTGTCTTTGTTGATTCCTGGAAACTGCCTGAACTGCAGATAGTCCTCGATTTATAACCATTGATTTAGCAACCTTCAAAGTTATAACAGCTCTGAAAAAAAAAAAGACTTTTGTCTGGTCCTTGCGCTTATGGCCGTGGCAGCATCCTCACAGCCATGGGATCCAAATTTGGGCACTTGGCAACTGGCATGTAGTTACAAGAGTTGCAATGTTCTTGGCGCATGTGATCGCCATTTGCAACCTTGCTCAGCTGGCAAAGTTAATGGGGAAAGCCAGATATGCTTAACAACCATGTGATTCACTTAACAGCTACAGCGATTCGCTTAACAACTGTGGCAAAAAAAGGAGCATAAAATCGGGCATGACTCAATTAACAATCACCCTGCTTAGCAATGGAAATTCTGATCCCATTTATGGTTGTCGATTGCAGTTTTCCTGGCAATATTTCGGATGTGGTTTGCCATTGTTTTCTTCGTCCGCCTGAGAGGGAGTGACTGGCTCAAGGCACCCAGTTGGGGTGTCAAGGAGGGACTAGAATTCACACCCATTTTATAGCTTGGATCCTTAACAACAAACCGGCTGTCTATTCATTTCATTATCTCCCCAAATTCCCAGGTGTGTTAGACAACAACATTCTCTTTTTAAAAATGTTCAGATTGCCAGGAATCTGAGTTCCAGTTACATAGTCCTTTCTTATGTCTTCTGAAAAAAGTTATTCAAAAATTTTCAAGTCATGTTGTGAGTGGAAAGAAGTCAACCAAACTTTGGAGCTCTGATCCATCCATCCATCCATCCATCCATCCATCCATCCATCCATCCATCCAATCCATCCATCCTTCCTTCCTTCCTTCCATCCATCCATCCCATATCTCTCTCTCTCTCATCTATCTATCTATCTATCTATCTATCTATCTATCTATCTATCTATCTATCTACCTACCTACCTACCTACCTACCTACCTACCTACCTACCTACCTACCTACCTATCAGCTATCTATCTGATCTATCTATCTGGGGGGGGGGGGAGAAATATAAAAATGTAAGTGGGTAGTTGAGTAGTTGGCAAATACAAAGGATAATTTGATGGTACTTGCAGACTACCACACTGTTGACCCCATGTGTATACCAATGCTCAATATACTATGAAAAGTGGAAAATATTGGTTTCATTTCTTTATAACCCACTCCTAAGGTGCTCTTTTTAAAAAGCTGCTCCCAACACATGAACTCTGATTTATTATACCTAGTCGATCTGTTGAACATGATACTCTAAACAGAGAGGGTTAGTGAGAAAATGCTGCCCCCATGAAAAAATGACCCAGCTGATGACATTGATTATGTAACTGGAAAAACTCACAACTAAGCAAATGGGCCTTGAATATGCTTCAACTCCAAATTTATGCAAATGAAATATTCCTGGTGCCTGCTTGTATGACAGTATGACAAGGAGTATTTGTTTTTTTAGATAGCTGTACAACGACTGATTTCAGAAAGGAAATCCATATGATTTTAGAGAAAGTAAAGATCACAGACATGTATTATTTTATCACATCCAGAGCCGTTTCAGATAGCAAATGTGGCAAACCAAATCTTATCTGACTTTAAATCAGAGCATTAATCAGTACTATGAATGCTGTATCTGTTGGATACATCCTTTTGATCTGGATTTAGTTTAGATTGGAGAATAATTTACAAATGTTCAGGGTTTTTTTTTTTCCCAGAGATGTAAATTGGAAGAACCTGTCCAGTACAGTGCAATGTTTTAAAATAGATTTCACTTGAATTGAGGTTAGTCCTAAAATTTTGGATTTCCCAAGATTCTTGAAAAATGCTATTCCATGGGCTCTATGTGATACATGATATTTACGATGGGTGACTGTAATATAGCCTTTGGATTCTACAGTTCTATAATTCTGTGATTTTAATTTTTTAACATGGATATTTTTTTATGTTTTGATTTTATTTTGGTCATTGATCAAGAAAACAAACAAACAAAAGAGTCACAATTCATTAGAATAAAACCAGCTATAAAATCAGTAAAATTGTAAATTAAAGAAGTTGGGGCGTAAATACTACTGTGAATAGCCACAAGTCTTGCAGCATGTAAAGGATTGCCAAAGATAGTTAATCTAATAAACAGACGATGAATAGACTGCAAAGGCTCATGATTTTGGGGAAGATGGGAAGATAATGTAGTAATAATAAGCAAAATCATTTGGTTATTATTTTACACAGGATATTTGATGTCTTCTATATAACAGTCATTTATTTAACAGTCATCTATAATTTACGCCAGAAAAGCAAGCGAACACACCTAAAGCAAAGGACTGATTAAACAAATAGTTCAAATAACTAGATTAATTCCAGCAAGAATTCTCTTACCTTTAGTAGATTCTCACAGAGATCATTAAAGGTCTTGTTGAGAGTTTGGTTTGTGAGGGTAATATTGCTAAGTCTGGAGACTCTTACAGACGTAAACATCTGAAGCAGGAAAACAAGATCATGAATTACCATCCTTAAGTATAAATAAGAGTCTTATTACTGGCTGAATTACAACTGAGATTGTAAGAGGTACAAGACAAAAGAAAAATAAAATTTATTCTAGGAGAATTTAACGCCAACTAGATCAGGTGTGATGCATTTCATGCTAATGATGACAATCCTATGTAGATTGGAATGAATAAATTTCACCACCATAAATGGAAATTAAATAGAAATAGAATAACAGAGTTGGAAGGGACCTTGGAGGTCTTCTAGTCCAACCCCCTGCCCAGGCAGGAAACCCTACACCACTTCAGACAAATGGTTATCCAACATCTTCTTTAAAATTGCCAGTGTTGGAGCATTGACAACTTCTGGAGGCAAATTGTTCCACAGATTAATTGTTCTCACTGTCAGGAAATTTCTCCTTAGTTCTAAGTTGCTTCTCTCCTTGATTAGTTTCCACCCGTTGCTTCTTGTTCTACCCTCAGGTGCTTTGAAGAATAGTTTGACTCCCTCTTCTTTGTGGCAACCCCTGAGATATTGGAACACTGTTATCATGTCTCCCCTAGTCCTTCTTTTCATTAAACTAGACATACCCAGTTCCTGCAGTTCTTCATATATTTTAGCCTCCAGTCCACTAATCATCTTTGTTGCTCTTCTCTGCACTCTTTCTAGAGTCTCCACATCCTTTTTACATCATGGCAATCAAAACTGAATTTGGTATTCCAAGTGTGGCCTTACCAAGGCATTATAAAATGGTATTAACACTTCACATGAGCTTGATTCTATCTCTCTGGTTATGCAGCCCAGAACTGTGCTGGCTTTTTTGGCAGCTGCTGCCCACTGCTGGCTCGTATTTAAATGCTTGTACACTAGGACTCCAAGATCCCTCTCACAGTTACTACTATTGAGCAAGGTACCACATATATGGTACCTGTGCATTTTGTTTTTCTTCCCTATATGTAGAACCTTACTTTTTTCACTGTTGAATTTCATTTTGTTAGATAGTGCCCAATGTTCAAGTCTGTCAAGATCCTTCTGTATCTTGAGCCTATCTGAGCCTATCTCTTGAGCCTAAATGAAGTGTTGTACGTTAACATTCATATAAGAGAAAAGATATAGGACTGAGAGCATAACCTCTGGATCAAATGTTAAGATTGGACATTTATTACAAGAAAGCTTTATGCATGAGATAATAATCTATACAGATAGTTCTTGACTTACAACCACAATTAAGCCCAACATTTCTGTTGCTTAAGTGACCCATTTGTTAAGTGACTTTTGTCCCATTTTACCACCTTTCTTGTCACAAGTTGTGAAGTGAAACACTGCAGTTGTTAAATTAGTAACACGGTTGTAAAGTGAACCTGGCTTCCCCCATTGACTTTGCTTTGTCAGAAGGTCACAAAAGTTGATCACATGATCCTGCTACATTACACCCATCAAAAATATGAATCACTTGTCAAGCATCCAATTGTAAATCATGTGACCACAGGGATGCTGCAACGGTCATAAGTGTGACGAATGGTCATAAATCACTTTTTTCAGTTGCCGTTGTAACTTCGAAAGGTCACTAAACGTTGTCAGCTGAGGACTACCTGTACTCTCTTCCAAGATTCTTTACTACCAATGCTTATGGAATTGACACAGAGAGAGAAAACATTCTTAATTGTAGGACCTCGTTTGAGAATATCTTATGAGGTAAAATTGCTTGGACCTACACTAACTACGTAATTTATGTGAAATAAAACCCCACATTTTTGATAATGGCGAAAACTGAATTTAAGCAAATTAATATGAAGTGAAAGAAAAGCAGTTTTGCATACTTTATTTATTACTCTGAAAATTGATCTGATTATATTAATACTATTTTACCTGTATGTCAGAAGTCCAATTGTTTACTCCAGGCATGATTTCTGTATTGCAGCTATAAAAGCCTGACAAAGAACAAATTCAGTTTTTTAGTATTAAAATAAAGAAGAAGATACAATGGTGTTCTTTCATTTGCTCAGGTTTTTAGCATATCTGATTTACGAAGTCACTGTGCTTTCTATTTGTATGATATTTTTTGAGAAAGAGGCAATCTAGTAATATTCTAAAGAAATACGTATATATACTTAGGAATGAATTAATCAGTTCAATTCAGTTAAATATAACATGTTCTAGTAATAGACACTGAAAGTGTTTATTAAATGCACAAATCTACAATAAAGTATGTCACATTAATTACATACAAGCAAGTATCTATTGAGCTTGCAAATTATGTAGCTTTTCTAGCTATCCAACAATAAATGGACTTACTTTTATAAGATCAAATTCAAGAAACCTAAAATTATGACCTCTTCTAATAGGAAATGTACATGGGATTATTCTACATACTGTGAAAAGAGTATTGGCTATTGTCAAACCTTTGGGAGTATTTTATAATATTATCCAAATTTTTAAAAAAATCAACTGTACCTGAGGGTGGAGGGATATCTGTCAACAAAGTGTGAACGTCTTCCATTGCATCTGTATCATCAATCTGAGGGGGGAAAAAACCCTACACATAATAATTTGGTCTTTGAAATGTTCTTTATCAAGAGATATTCTTTGTGAAAAGCATATTTAATATACCTACTGTATAAAGGCATTATCAGAAATCTAAGTCTAACCCATATATCCGGAGTTTTAAAATTAAACACCTGGGGACTTGTTAACAGATTTAAACATCTTAGTATATTAACATTAAAATCTCAGCGTTGGTGAGTTATTTTTCATTTCTTTTTTAAACCTTTCTGAAACATGCATGCTGTCAGGTGCAAGGAACCAGAATGACTCCAGAGACGTTTCTTTATTGCTACTCACCTACCAATTTTTTTTAAAAAAATCTCACTAGATTAATTGCATAAACAACCAGATAGGAGCTCCAAGGATTTCAGAAAAGGTCAAATCCCTGTTGCTTCCTTCCCATAGAATCAAAAGGTTGGAAGAGACCTTGGAGGTTTTCTAGTTCAACTCCCTGCACAAGGCAGGAGTCTAATCCTATCTCAGCCAAATGGTTGTTCAGCCTGTTTGTGGCAACTTCCAGTAATGGCACACCCACAACTCCGGCAGCCAAGCTATTCCATTGATTAATTGCTCTCACTGTCAGAAAATTTCTCCTTACTTCTAGGTTGTATTTCTCTTTAACAAGCTTCCGTCCATTACATCTTATCCTGCCCTCTGGTGAGTAAGTCCTCTATCACGTCCCCAGTAATCCTTCTGCTGGATAGGCTATGCATTCCTAGCTCCCTTAACTGTCGTATGGTTTAGCCTCCAGACCCTTTATCATCTTTGCCGCTCTTCTCTGATCTCTTTCTAGGGTCTCAGTATCTTTTCTGTATCCTGATGACCAGAACTGGATATAGTATTCCAAGGGTGGAACACTTACTTATTCCCTGCAGGGATTCCAAGCTAGCCAGTCTCTTAACTCACCCCTACTCTAGTTGCAGATTCCATCACACATGCTTCTCATTTTCAAAAATGCAAAGTGGCTTACAATAGCTGTTTTTATTAAATCTCTCTCTCTCTCTCTCTCTCTCACACACACACACACACACACACACTCACACCAATTCAGATATGTTATTTGTAGAATGCAAAGAATATTTAACCACAAATGACATGGTTCTGTGATTCAATCAGTGAATTTTGTTCATTCTTTATAAGTCAGGTACAAGATGAACTTTTTTTACCTCCAACACAAAGGCATCTTTCTTGCCATGAGAGAGATCCAATTCTGCAATTTCATCAGAGCTTTCAGACTGAGATCTTAGCAACCTGGTCCGGTGTCTCGGTTCTGGAATGGGAGAACCTATAATTTCTTCCGATGTCTCCTACGTAGAACAATATGGCATCATGTAATAAATCAAACATTAAATCTCACAAAAGATCTTTAAACATTTCACTGCTACGACCACAACTTTCCTCCAACATAAAGACAAATCAGTTATGAGATATCTTAGCTATTTCTGTCCTGACCAAAATGAGTAACTTTTATTTCTGAATCTGTTTAGTTTTGCAACCACTTTCTTTCTCCTTATCTTTATAGAGTTCCATCTCCTAAACATTGGTTGTCTTTATATTTTCAGAAATCAACTACATCTAAGCTTTCATTCATAATATAGGTAGTCCTCAACTTACAACAGTTCATTCAGTGACCGTTCAAAGTTACAATGGCACTGAAAAAAATTAACTTATGACCATTTTTCACACTTATGACCCTTGCAAGCACGACCCTTGGAACGTGCTGGAATTTCTAGCATGTATACACTATTGAAACAGTGACGTCTACGCTGGCTGGGGCATGTCGTGAGAATGGCTGATGGTCGGATTCCGAAAGATCTCCTGTATGGGGAATCAGTGCAGGGAAAGCACCTCAGAGGGAGACCACAGTTGCGATATAAGGATATATGCAAGAGGGACCTAAAGGCCCTGGGAATGGACATTAACAACTGGGAAACCTTGACCTCCGATCGTTGAGCTTGGAGGCTAAAGACGCAGCATGGCCTTCTCCAATTCGAAGAGACGCTTGTTCGGCAAGCTGAGGCAAAGAGGCAGTCCCGGAACCAGTGAAATCTGGGTGCTGGGCAGGGGACAAAATGTATCTGTGCTCAGTGTGGAAGGGATTGCCACTCTCGAATTGGCCTTTTTAGTCACACCAGATGCTTGTTTAGGACCTCTTTCCAGAGCACGACACCATAGTCTCTTGAGACTGAAGGATGCCAATGCCAATGTGACCCTTGCAGCATCCCCGCGATCACATGATTTATATTCGGATGCTTGACAAATTAGTTCATATTTATGATGGTTTCAGTGTCCCGGGGTCGTGCAATTCCCTTTTGCGACCTTCTGACAAGCAAAGTCAATAGGGGAAGGCAGATTCACTTTACAACTGTATTACTAATTTAACAACTGCTGTGATTCACTTAAGAAATGTGGCAAGAAACATCGTAAAATGAGAAGCATTTGACTTAAAATTGTGTCAGTATTTATACAACATTGCTTACCGGAGGGTTAATCTCATACAGCTCTTTGTTTCTGGTGATTGTGTCATTGATTTTCTTCTGCATATGAGATATATGCTGTTCGTAAGTGGCATCACTGGGAGTTTTCCCTGCAATCTGAATACCACCAGGAGTAGGTAAAGCAGCCAGATAAACCCCTGTAGCAGACTGGGAAAAAAAGTATACCAGTAAGAAACTAAGGCATTGTGGGAAACACAGTCTAACATCTTCCTTCTATTGGTATAAAAAAAATGTAAGAGCTTAAAATGTGCTATTGACTGTTTATCTGGATCAGAGTTTCTCAAACTTAGCACCCTAAAGGTGTGCGGACTTCCAACATATTCAGAAATTTCCAAGTAGAAACAAAACTGGATACATTTTTTTTTCTTTAATGGTATCCGTACATCTTAAAACCAGTGGTGAAATGTAAAATTTGTTACTACCGGTTCTGTGGGCGTGGCTTGGTGGGGAGGGAGTAATGTGACTGGGTGGGCATGGCCAACTTTTTTATTTTTTTAAACTTTTAAAAGCATTTTTTCTACAAGCTCTTTGGCTGAAGAGGTTGTAAAAAAAATGCTTTTAAAAAGCTCTGACAATCCCAGGTGAGTTGCCTGATGGTCAAAGGGTTTTTTTTTTCTTTTAAAAGCAAAATAAAAAAAAAAAAGAAATGCTTTTAAAAGAAAACAAAAGCCTCTGATGATCAGGCAACTCATCTGGGATTGTCAGAGCCTTTTAAAAGCATTTTTAAACAACCTCTTCTGCTGAAGAGGTTGTAAAAATATGCTTTTAAAAAGCTCTGACGATCCAAGGTGAGTTGCCGGATTGTCAAAGGGTTTTTTTCCTTTTAAAAGCAAAAAAAAAAAAAAAAAGAAAAGAAAAAGAAAAAGAAAAGAAAAGAAAAGAAATGCTTTTAAAAGAAAACAAAAGCCTCTGATGATCAGGCAACTCATCTGGGATTGTCAGAGCCTTTTAAAAGCATTTTTTAATAACTTCTTCCTTTTAAATGCTTTTAAAAGGCTCTGACGATCCCAGCTGAGCCGTGCGATCATCAGAGGCTTTTTATAAAAAACTTTTAAAAGCATTTTTTCGGCAGAAGAAAAAAATGCTTTTAAAAGTAAAAAAAAAAAAAGCCTCTGATGATCCCACGGCTCAGCTGAGTATGGGGGTGGGCCAGGGATTTTTGCTACCGGTTCTCCGAACCACCCGCCGCCATTGCTACCGGATCAGGCGATCCGGTCCGAACTGGGAGTATTTCACCCCTACTTAAAGCTCTTGAGATTGAGAAACACTGACCTAGACCAGGGGTCTCCGAACTTGACAACTTTAAGACTTGTGGACTTCAATTCCCAGAATTCCTCAGCCAGCTGTGCTGTGCTGACTGGGGAATTCTGGGAGTTTAAGTCCCACAAGCTTTAAAAGTTGCCAAGTTTGGAGACCCCTGATCTAGATTGTGCAGCATAAGTATGTGTGGGTGGGATTGTGTGATCAAGTCAAATTTTTCTTCAGAAAGTAAACAGGTGGGAAACTGCAGGCTGAAATACAGATTAAAAAAAGAATTAAGAAGCGCTGAAAGATATTTCAGTGTGACAATGCAGCTTGTTCAAAGAGTTATAAACCTGAATTTGTAGAAATCTTGGAAATTTAAGATCACAGATTATCTTTGTGCATTTAATGCCAAACACAAAAGGCACCATTAGATGCTGTAGATATAACCCCACAAAAATCAGTGATGAGGGATAACATCTGACCACTAATGAGATCTTCATTAGTAGCCTTTATTGTGGCAGAAACTTTTTAAAGTGGATCAAAACACCAGAAACTGGATTCCAGCTGCTGTTCATTAACTTTAGAAAAGGTACTATTGTAAGACTTTCCATTTTGAAATCTTCAGGGTTTATTTTAAAAAGCACATGGCCTGTTTCTTTCATACAACTTTTTTTAAAAATGACTTAAGCCGATAAATCTTGACATTCTGGGTTTATAAGACATGTAAAACCATCCTATTTTGTTCAATGCTTAAGTATTTTTCCAAGATGAAAAACTGGAGGGAGATTATGGTTTAAAGCACAAATGGAAAACTTACTGCCAGACCCATCAACATCGTTTCTCCCACCGTGATCTGTATCCGTAGGCCAAAGAGGGCATTCATCCCTCTTAGCTTCAGCTTATTCATCAACTGAGTGTGTACTTCGTACTCCATAAATGGCAGCAGGTTACTGATGCAGGTTGCGTTGGCTTCGGCTTGGGCTTTCTTTTTCAGCCGGCATAGCCTGTTGGAGAATGAACAGTAAATTTCAAGGCATGTGGCCTTAAGGAATCATAGAGTCATAGGGCTAGAAGGGACCTTGGAGGTCTTCTAGTCCAACCCCATGCTAAGGTACAAGTCCTTATACCAGTAATGGCTAACCTTTTTGCTGTTGCGTGCCAAAAGCGGGGGGGTTGTGCATGTGCATGCCCACAACCATAATTTAATGCCCCCCACGTTGCGCCCCCCCGAGCATGCGCGCACAACCTCCCCTGCGCTCCCCCTGCTTTTGGCACGCAATGGCACGGTAGGCCCATTTTTTACCCTCCCCAGGCTCCAGAGGCTTTCTTGGAGCCTGGGGAGGGTGAAAACAGCCTTCCCCACCCCCCGGAGGCCCTCCAGAGGCCAGAAACAGCCTGTTTCCCCACTTCTGGTGGGCTTGGAAGGCCTGAAAATCAGCTGGCCAGCATGCACATGCGCGCTGGAGCTGAGCTAGGGCAACGCTCACGTACCCACAGATATGACTCCGCATGCCACCTGTGGTACACATGCCATAGGTTGGCCATCACGACTTTATACCATCCTGGACAAATGGTTGTCCAGACTTTTCTTGAAGGCCTCCAGGGATGGAGCATCCACAACTCCAGGAGGCAAACTGTTCCATTGGTTAATTGAGCAAGACATTCCATTGATTAATTAGTTCTCAGTGTCAGGAAATTTCTCATTTCTAGGTTGGATCTCTCCTTGATTAGTTTCCATCCATTGCTTCTTGTCCTGCCCTCAAGTGCTTTGGAGAATAAATTGACTCCCTCTTCTCCGCGGCAGTGTTCTGTCCCCGTCTCACACACGCACACAAACAGATATCCAGGGGTTAAATAAAACTGGCAGACAACAAATTCTTTCGATAAGAGGATTGGCAGCAACCCAGTAGCTGCTTGCCAAGAACTTTACCCATAAAGGGAGGGGTTGTTCCTCCGACTGATAAAGCCAAACAAGATACACACAGTTCAAGAATTGTCAAGTCCAGTCCGTATTAAATCCAAGGCAGATATCGTTGTTGCAAAGATACAATGTGACTCGCTAGTAGTTAGTTTTGTCCGTCACAGAGTCTGAATGGCCACCTCACCCCCTTATATCCCCTGTGGGCTGTGGTCCAATGACTCAGCTTAATCTCTGGCACACCTCCTTTTCTGCTGTGTGCGCTTGTCTCTCCGACGCTGGCGTGGATCCAGCCAAGACTTATCTCCGTCACTGTCTGACTGTGAGGAGATACCTGGCTCCTGGCCAATCTCTTCTCCCTCGGGAGACACCTGAGGCATTGCCAGAGAGGAGGGTCCTGGAGAGGGAGGCCTGGCCAACTCCTCTCCTTCATGTTCGGAGCCTTCTCCCTCCGATAAGTCGGCCTCGGGGGTCAGAGTCACAACAGGCAGCTCCTCAAATATTGGAATATTAGGCTATCCACTGTCAGGAAATTCCTCCTTAGTTCCAGGCTGGATCTGCCACTGATGAATTCCACCCATTGCTCCTTGTCCTGCCCTCAGGTGCTTTGGAGAATACATTGACCCCTCCCCCCCAAGACCTTCAAGTATTGGAAGACTGTTATCATGTCTCTCCTGAACCTTCTGTTCATTAGGCTAAATATACCTCATTCCCTTAGCTATTCGTTGAATGATTTAGCCTCCAGACCCTTTATTATCTTTGCATCTCTTCACTGCACTCTTTCTAGAGCCTCAGGATCTTTTCTGTATCGTGAAATACAGTAGAAAACTGAAAGTAGAAAGCAACAGGGGTATAAAAATCTACGTTAAGTGCTGAGAGCACTTATGGAGACCCCCAGCCTTTTTGCAGCCTTTACAGAGAGAATGGCATTTTTAAATAGAAAAGCCACAATGAATTGAATTGTTAGTTCAGCAGAAAAGTGTTATCCTTGACCAAGGCTGTTCTACTAAGAAGCATCTTTGTATTTTGTGGGATCTCTTTCCTCCAAATGTACTTCACTGCTAAAGAATTGGCCAGGAACAGCAGATTGCTTATCTGTGAACAAAACATCTTCACTGAAGTAGAGCCAGTTTGGTCTGGTGGTTAAGGAACCAGGCTAGAAACTGGGAGATTGGGAATTCCAGTCCTTCCTTAGCCATGAAAGATGGATGACTTTGGACCAATCACCAGGAAACTGTGAATTCTAATCCTCTTAGCCATGAAAGCTGGCTGGCTGGTTGACTTTGGACCAGTCGCCAGGAGACTGGGAATTCTAGTCCTGCCTTAAACATGAAAGCCAGCTGGGTGACCTTGGGCTAATCCCAGGAGACTGTGAATTCTAATCCCACTTTAGGCATGAAAGCCAATTGGGTGACCTTGGGCCAATCAGCAGGAGTTCTAGTCTTGCCTTAGGAATGAAAGCCAGCTGGGTGACCTTGGGCCAATCACTCTCTCTCTCTCTCAGCCCAACAACCTCACAGAGTTGTTCTTGTGGGGAAAATAGGAGGAGAAAGGTGGATGTTTGCCACCTTGAGATACTTGTAGAAATAACGAAGGCAGAATATAAATAATAATTAAAATCGGTCTCTTCTTCCTGTATTCCTACCTGGCTTGGATGAGACAGCCTTTTCCAAACACCACTGCGTCCACGGGTAAGTCTATTGTCGTGAAAAGAACATCGGGCACTTTCTGCTTCCTGCAACTGCAGCAGTAAGCGAGGCGAGCCGGGAATGGCATGTTGAGCTCATCGTAAGGGATGTGACAGAAGCCACAACCGGGAGGTAAGGTTTCCTCTAGCCTAAGAGAGAAATGGTGAGAAGTCTAAAATTACCATTAAGACACTGACTTTCAAAACAGGGTTGGTCACTTGAAGTGGGGGGGGGGGTCCACACAAGGCATATATAGATAACCTATACAGGTAGTCCTTGACTTACAACCACTGGTTTAGTGACAGTTCAGACTTAACGACGGAACTGAAGTGATTTATGACCACTCCTCGCACTTAAAACCGTTGAAGCGTCAAGGTCACGTGATCAAAATTTGGCAATCAGCATGTACTTAAGACGATAGCAGCGTCCCAGGGTCATGTGACGGCCCTCTGCGACCTTCCCAGGCAGCTTGTGACAACCAAGCCAATGGGGGAAAGCCAGATTTGATTAAAACTGCACGATTCACTTAACAACTGCGACAAGAAGATGATAAAAATGGCTACGACTCACTTAATGCCTTCTGCTTAGCAACAGAAGTTCCAGTCACAACGGTGGTCGTAAATTGAGGGCTACCTGTACATGGCTGGCCAGTTTGCTTTCTTTTATAAACCTTTTTTTTTTTTTTTTTGCATTTGAACAAGTTAATCAACAGACATTCTTCTCCCTCAAGAGGCCAAACAGATCATTAATTTCCCCTCCCCTTTTTAAACCACAGCAACTCCTGACAGATACACATGCATGGACAGATTAGTAGAAACCGCGTAGCTTTTTGTCAATTTGGTTTCAGTAGCTCTAAAAAGACACAAAACAACACAAATACTCATTTCTGTTAGAGTCCTATGAAGCAATTATTCGGGTAGGAATGGAAAAACTTGTGTCATGAAGGAAAGAACAGTTTTAATGGGTCAGAAGGGCAACTACCACTAGGTAGTAGTAAATTTTGTAGTAAATTTGTAAATTTGTAGTAAATTTGGCTATGAATGCAAATTAGCAACTGAGTGTCGCTTGCTAGAGAAATCGATTTTTATAAAAACATTTATTTAGTTATTTATCTATCAAACTTGGAGACGATTCATCACCGAGCAACTCTTGACAGTGTGGAATCCTTGGTGTTTCTCTGAGCTTGTTTGTTTTCTTACAGACTTTTCATTGCCCAACTAGGTAACATCATCAGTGCTAGAGGGGAGGGGAGTTTTTATCATATTTAATTTCTCTTGATTTGACAACTATACATAATTCAAACCCATTGAGGTTTATCACAATCTAATTTAATATGAATAAAATACTGAACTGTACATTTTTTTGTCCTGTACTAAAACATCCTTACTTTCAAGCTGAATAATCAGATTGCATGTCTGTTTGACTGGCAGATCAAGGTTAGCTTCACCGACCTGTGATTTGCTTAGCTTCCTTTTCAGACATATATCATGTGATTGGACTTAGAAGCTACAGAATGTTTTTATTAAGAAACAAAATAGGGGTCGGTGGCATTTCTCCACCTTTTTGTTGATCAAGACATGTCTCTGTGCAATAATTATCTTTCTCGGCCCCCTCTGCAATCTCATAGCCTTCTGAAGGATCTCCCAACCATCTGGAAAAGACGGTGGAGAAATCGATCTGAGAAAAGAGGGACTGGTAATAATTGACTTTTTCTTTGATCTGCTGAGCAAAACTTCCACTGAATTGGTGAAAAAACCACATCAGAGAAGCGGACAAACTGGGATACAACTCAGTGTAACAAACTATGAATGCAAGAGATACGGATAACATAAGCCAGTTTAGGCTGCCATCTTCCTATAATTGTTCTCTAATCAAAAGTTAACATATATGTATTTTGACTCAAATCTGAACTTTTAGTATTGTATTAACCTAGGAGTCTCCCGTGGACCTAAAGCACGGGTGTCAAACTTGCAGAATCACATGACATATTGTGATGTTTTTTCCCTTCGCGGAGCTGGGGTGGGTGTGGCCTGCACGTGATGTATCTGGCCCGCGGGCCGCCAGTTTGACACCCCTGAAAAGGATAGTTTGATTATATAACAAGCGCCTAAAGGCGCAAGCGGGTTAAAAGATAACAAACATGATATAATGCTGCTGATCCTTTAGCTACAAGTAAATCAGAATGGAGCTTATTTAAATTAAGCTGACTCCATTAGCTCTTGTAAATATGAGAATAGAGAAGCACGGAATAGATTCGGAGGTGAAGCAAATAATTGAAAATTACAGAACCTCCACTCATCCGTGCTGGAAGCAGAGGGAATATGAAGTTTTGGCGAAGAAGCAAAACGAACAACACCTCAAGTTGCTCATGCCAAATTTTTCTTCAAAAATAAATAAATAAATACGTAAAAATCTCCCTTCTGGGGGAATCACATCATGCTGAACATGATGGTCATCTCCCAAAAAAATGATCTGGCAACATCAGAGTCAGTAAAAAAAAATAAAAAATCAGCATTTTTTTTTACCACGTAATCCATTTTGGTAGGGTTTTTTTTTTCCTGAAGAGCTGAACTTTTATCATTTTCTATTGAAAAATTATATTTGGTGAAACCTTGATTTGGCAGACAAGCAGGGAGGAGGGGGCCTGTGTTACACTCAAAAGGCCTGTAAAATCGTACAGGATGTCCTTTTTGGCAATTTTAGTGATTTGCGTACTGACGCCACAAGACAAATCATGTCACCTTGATGCTCTGAGGTAAATTGCCACAGCTGACCCAAGCATAATATAAATTCAGCTCCCTCACCCAGACCTGTACTGGGTGAGGGAGCTGTACTGGGGGGGGCGGGGGGGGTTTACATTGAAAAATGGGGATCCGTGAACTGAGGTTTCGCTGTAACTTGAAAAGGAGAGGCAAATCTCAATGGTTGGCTGGGGAATTCTGGGAGTTGAAGTCCACACGACTTAAAAGTCGTCAAGGTTGGGAAACTTTGCTTTAGTGTGTCATAAAATTTTGACAATGGTGTGAAACAAAAGAGTCACTTGCACACTCAGTGTTAGGAGAGGGACAGTTCGAAACAGGGGAAAGGATTTGCGTTCTCTTGTTAGTAGCCAAACGGTTACCTTATTCAGGCTGTTAGAAATTTTAAAGCAGTAAGACTAGTGATTGGGGCAGTCCCACAACGTCTGCTGTTGTTAGTGAAAAATCAGTAATGCCCCCGCATTCTGTGCTGTACCACTGGTAACCTACCCTAATAGAGAAGAACTATCTTGGTTTTGAGGAAAAAAATCAACCTCTCCCTTCTCTGACCCTATGGAAAAGTAGCCAGGCTGCCATGACAACCTTGGTTCCAAACAGACTTCCATGTTTCCATCCTGGAGAAACCTGGGATTCAGCACAGCTGCTGTGCCCGAGGCAGACAAAATACAGACCTCCTCACTGTGAAAGAAAAGAAAGAAAGAAAGAAAGAAAGAAAGAAAGAAAGAAAGAAAGAAAGAAAGAAAGAGGGAGGGGAAGGAAAGGGGAGGGAGGGAGGAAGGAAAAGAAAGAAAGAGGGAGGGAGGAAGGAAGGAAGGGGAAGGAAAGAAAAGAAAAGGAAAAGGAAAAGGGAGGGAGCGAGCAAGAGAGGAAGGAAAATAAAGAAAGAGGGAGGGAGGGAGAGAGGAAGAAAGGGAAAAAGAGAAAGAAACGGGGGGAGAGAAAGAGAGAGAGAGAGAGAGAGAGAGAGGGAAAAAAATGGAAAAAGAAAATCAGTCATGGGTTTAGTCATATGCATTGCCAAATCTCTTCTCCAAAATAAAAAAGCCACAAACAAATCCATTTTGAAAGTGAGCGTTTGAAGCAGGAGAGTTTTGAAAAATAAGCTGCCTGTTATAAGGTGGTTATTTTGACAGTGATAAGGAAAATTCAAATGATGCTGCAAGTGGCCTTAAATGCAGATTGGTTGCTGAGTGCCTGACATGTAGTCATGACACTGGGCGGGAGGAGAAACTTTGATACTGGGTGGTAAAATCCCCTGGGGAGACCCGTCATAATTCTGAACGGTCGCTAAATGACAGGTCGCAAATTGAAGACTACCTGTACTTGCTAATATGATGCATTCCCTATTATGTAGTGCGGGGATGGGGAACGATGGCCCTTTTATGACTTATTTATTTATTTATTAGTTCGATTTATATGCCACCCTTCTCCGGAGACTCAGGGCGGCTTACAATGCTTTTAAGCAATAGCCTTCATACTTTTGTATATACCTGCTTAGTAGGGCTTTTGGCCCCCCCTAAGCGGTGTTCTATTTTATACAAAGTCAGCTTATTGCCCCCACAATCCGGGTCCTCATTTTACCTACCTCAAAAGGATGGAAGGCTGAGTCAACCTTGAGCCTGGTGAGAATTGAACTTGCAGTAATTGCAGGCAGCTGGCAGCTAAATACTACTTTAACAGTAGTTTAGTCCACTGCACCACCAGGCTCCTAAAAGGTTGTGGACTTGTGGACTTCAACCCCCAGAATTCTTGAGCCAGCCATGTTTACTGGGGAATTCGGGGAGTTGAAGTCCACAAGTCGTAAAGGGTCCATCATCCCCCACCGCTGATGTAGTGGATCATTCCCCATCTCTTTTTTCCTGTGTCCTCAGGTCAGTGTTTGTCTCCTATCTTCTATCTTCATGCCCCCAAATGGCATCTCCTCTTGATAGCTTGATCACTGGTCAAAAAAGGTTACAAGGCTTGAAGTGAAGATGCCTTGTGCCAGAGATAATAAAAAGGAAGGTTCTGCTGTTCAGAAGAATTTGTCATTCCTTTGTTCACCAAAGCAAATGGCAGCAATGCAGAAGTAGCATCTAGACCGTTGCCGCTTCCCAGCAGCTAAGTGCAGTGGTGAAATGTAAAATTTGTTACTACCGGTTCTGTGGGCGTGGCTTGGTGTGTGTGTGTGGGGGGGGGGATAATATGACTGAGTGGGCGCGGCCAACATTTTTTTTTTTAACTTTTAAAACCATTTTTTCTACACCCTCTTCGACTGAAGAGGTTGTAGAAAAAATGCTTTTAAAAGCCTCTGACGATCCCAGCTGAGCCGCGCGACCCTCAGAGGCTTTTTTTTTTTTTTTTACTTTTAAAAGCATTTTTTCAGCCAAAGAGGTTGTAGAAAAAATGCTTTTAAAAATTAAAAAAAAGCCTCTGATGATTGCGCAGCTCAACTGGGTAATGTGGTGGGGGTGGGGGCAGGGATTTTTGCTACCGGTTCTCCGAACCACCCGCCTCCATCGCTACCGGATCAGGTGATCCAGTCCGAACCGGGAGCATTTCACCCCTAGCTAAGTGGCTATATTACTATACGCCCCATCATCCCGAGCCTTCCTACTTCCCATTAATTGGCACAACTTTATACAACCAATCTTCTCTTTTCACCCCTTCCTTTTGCTGCTTGCAGAGTTAAAGTGTTTTAATTGTCAGGGAAACTGAGCCAGCGAGTTACCAAATGCTAGTTGATTCACTGTAGCCCACCACAGCGTGGCACCCCAATGCTTTTGCATGGGATTTGATTTCTTGACGAACTTCTGCCCACCAGGCATCCCGTGTTTCCGGGTCATCTGAAAGATACAGAGCACATCCGTTTACTATTCAGCAGAGATGCAAAATGTTTGGTTAAAGCGAAGAGGTTAACTAAATGCTGGTTAACTTGTTTAAACTAGTATAAGGCCTCAGTGTTCTGCCCCAGCTTCGGATTTCCAAGGATTGTGTGACACACACCAACGGTCCTTATCAAAGTTATAACGTACCAAGAATAAACAAAGTCCGGCAAAGGTTGGCAACCAGCCCAGAAAACAAGATACGATAAGACACTCACTCTCCAAAATGCTCTGTAATAATTACATGTTGTTTCCAGCAAGAAATTACTAACTGCGTACGACTTAAATAGGCTAAGGGAGTGGCCAATTATCCTCAAACCTTACTCTCGAGACCTCCTCCTCCTGAGTAGCCACTCTTGCCTTTTGGCAGCCCTGCGTGCTTGAGCATTGAGGAGAGGCTCCTCCACTTCGCTCTCTCCACTTGAAGGAGCCTCTGGAGGTTCTGAAGGCCCAGGCTGAGTCTCTGCCTCTGGCACCACATCCTTTTCACCTCCTCGCTGTCCGACGCGAGCGCCAGCTGCGCACGCTGCTGGCGCGATCCCACACCAGCCTCCGCGTCGTCGGGATCAGCCACGATCCACGCAGGCCGCTGGTGGGCCACAACATTCAGCAACATTCTGTGTCTTCTTCTTCTAGCCTAATTGGTGGGATAGGGTGGTGATTTCACGCAATTGAAGCTACTCCATTTCTTTTTTGAATCTCAAGAGAATGCGAGAGGCTCAAGGATGTGGTTTCTCTACTTACACCTTTTGCTCAAAATACCGTGACAGGCAATCCTTGACTTACAACCACAATCGAGCCCAAAATCTCCATTGCTAAGCGAGACAGTTTTTAAGTGAGTTTTGCCCCATTTTACGACCTTTCTTGCCACGGTTGTTAAGTGAATTGCTGCACTTGTTAAATTTAATGACACGATGGTTAACTGAATCCGGCTTCCCCGTTGACTCTGCCTGTCAGAAGGTCGCAAAAGTGATCGCATCAACCCCAGGACACTAAATATTCAGTTGCCATCTGAATTTTGATCACATGACCAAGGGGAAGCGGCAATGGTCATATGAAAAATGGTCATAAGTCACTTTTTTCAATGCTGTTGTAACTTTGAACAGTCACTAAATGAATGGTTGTAGTCAAGGACCACCTGTATTAGGCTAAAACCTTCCAAGCGACACACCAAAAGTATCTCTGACTATGAAAAAAAAAACCAAAAACCCGACAGCATCTCCAACTACAAACACATTTGCAGTCAGCAAATCTCAGTATTAAAAGTCCACTGGTCACAACGTGTCTCCCTTGGATCATCTCTTTTTTTAAAAAAAAAACAACTTGAGGAGATAGATTGTAAGATAAATTAACATAAGAGTTTGGATGATTTGAATAACAGTTTAACTTTGTCATGATTAAAAAAGCGGAGTGCAATTTAGAGATTTAAAAAAACACTGAACCATATTGCTCACTTGATGGGAAAAAAAGTTTTAAAAACTCTCTGGGCAAATTTAACATTCTTGCATGAGCCTAAATAATTAATTGTCCTTATTTTTGTATTGTTAATTGATTCAACAAATGCCACCACCACCAAAAGAGTTATGAGATATTCTGTTTATACTTTTAACCTCAGACAGGAAAAAATACTGAGTGGTAGGTTAATGCTGAATAACTTTATTGCTTATTCTTGGAAAATATTTGTCAATAAAGAAAATACATTTAATACATGTATTCAAATATGTATTCAAAATATTTTTAGAAACTAATAATGTTATAACCATAACTCAATTGTAAGTTGCCACATTAAAGGCAAACCATGTTGAATTAGCTTCATGTTAGAATTTCAAACTTGACCTCTTAATGTTTTCAAAAACGTACATGGAAGAGCCTTGGTAGTACAGTGGTCTAAGGCACCCTGTTATTTAGCTGGTTATTAAGACCAGATGCCTGCAATTACTGCAGGTTCGAATCTCACCAGGCTCAAGGTTGACTCAGCCTTCCATCCTTTCCAAGGTAGGTAAATTGAGGACCCAGTTGTGGGGGCAATAAGCTGACTTTGTATAAATATACAAAAGGATGAAGGCTATTGCTTAGCACATTGTAAGCCGCCCTGAGTCTCTGGAGAAGGGCGGCATATAAAACAAAACAAAACAAAATAAAACAAAACAAAACAAAACAAAATAAAATAAGCACTTTTTCAATATTTGCAAAGATGTAATCAAGTGGGGGGTTCAGAAGAACCTTTGGTTGTTTAAATATCTTAGAGTATATATGAATTTGCAGTGATAGTGGAGGAAACTGCTTGTCATTTCCAGAGATAATGGAGACCTACACAAGCCAAAACAATTTGTTTTTAAATGGTTAAGAAAAATCAGCTTTTAATAGAGGACTTCCTAGCCCAGAAAAAAAAAAATTGCAGCAAAACCTAAATTGCACAATGACGTATGATTTAGATTGGACTTTGGGATTTCTTCTTCTGAAGAGATCATCAGATTGCACAAAATTCCTAAATGAAAATTCATTGTTTCATTCACTCCACAATTACATCATAGACCCAAATTTATATTAACTGAGATTAATCTTTTTTCTTTTAGCAGAATATTTTTGAAATACAAAGTAGTACGTTAGATCTTATAAGAGACTAGTACTTGAGGGTCAACAGAATAGACTTAAATGTACTTAGTGTTAATTTGAAAGGTTTTAGAGATTTTAGAAAATTTTTAACCTATTTCAGGTCATTAAAAATTATGTCAATTTTATAAAGGACACATCTGACAGAACAAAGTAAAAGTTCTATTGGGTTTTTATAGTGCATTTGCTTAATACTTCAAAGCAAGGTGAGGCAGGTAGCTGTCCTGAGTCATAAACATTTTTTTCTCTTCACGTTCAACAAGGTGTAACTGGTAATTTTAGTTAATAAAATATGATTATGATCAAAGTTCATTTAACTAACTCAGTTACTTTTTGCAATATGATTGTTTTTATTGTTTCAATATTTGTTATGATGATTATCAGAACGGAGATTTTAATATTAGTTTCTGAATTAGGGATATACTCAACCATAAATGATAATACACTTACTGTAATTACATCATAATAGATAAGTGAAATTTGATCTGTGGCATTTCTTACATCTTAAACTGAGAGAATATGCTTTTTACTTAGCAATGAATCAGATCTTGGGTGGGAGGGTTATGTTTTGGTTTCTTCAACATTATTTCAACAAATTCACATGTGCAGAATTGAAAATTATGGTTTATCGATTTACAACTCAATCAGCTTAAACTTACAATTACAACAGTTTACTGCAACATCCAAAAGCCCACATTTAAATGTGTCTTCACTGAATTTATTTGGTTTTTAAATCTGTAAATTATAAAGAATTGGTAGGAATGGCTAGTTATTTAAATTTTGAATGCAAGGCTTATATGTGTATTATTGCACACAAACCTCTTTGGATGCAGATGATGAGATATCTCACTACCAGCTTACACAAGGAAATAAAAGAAACTAAATATGACTTAAATATCTTACCACAGCAAACTGAATTAAACATGTTTTCATTAAAAATAGTGAGAAGATGGTGAAAACCTTGGCAAGATCCTGGCAAACCCTGTGAAGCATTTATTATGTGCATATGGGTATACAGTATATATACCTATACCTCTATCTATAGCTATAGCTATCTTTGTACCTATATGTCACTGCGTTTTTGTATTTACCAGCAGAGCTCATTATTTCTGGACTGTCAGACTTTCCGTAGCTTGCCAGAATTTCTTATCAGTAACTGATACTACACATGTCCGCATTCTTTCACTTGCTTCCACACTTTTTCTTTGTTCTCTTGCCAAGAGAAGTCCGATCACAGAAAGGTGGCCGGTAGGAACTTTGCCAAAATGTAACAATTTAATTATTTTTAGACTAGTAAGATTATTTTCTTCTTTACAATAAATATGAGTTTAATTAGAAAATGTATTCCGGTTTTATTTTTCAAAGGTATACACAAGGAAAATGCCACGATCCAGGCAATTACCCCAGGAAGGTAAGGGGGCTGATTGCCTCTGACACTATAACTATTTCTTTTTGCATGCTTTCTCTTGCTTCATCTATATGTGGCACAAATTTAGCTTCTAAAAGTATTGTCTAAACTTTTAAACAGAGATGTGTGAATAAATGTCCAGGAGAGTAGCCTCGAAGACCAGCTATTAGAGTATAAGCAAAAAGATAATACAAGTGTTCAAAAGAATCTTTTAGAGAATTCCCAGTTGAAGAATTCTCTTTAATAAGAAGCAGTATTGTAAAATTACTGAACAAGGGATCTCCTACTCCTGTGATTTTACAGTGGTAGTTTCTTATGAATTCCATTCAAATAGGAATCTTTGCATGTGTTATTTCCCAGGAATATTAGTAGCTAACACTGAAGTCTGAAAAGTTACTACAAGACCCAACCGCTGAAAGCTACAAACCTGAAAACGTAAAGACAGTATGGTACTGGTTTTGGGAAACCGAGTTAGCTTCACTCTGTGCTGAAAATAACATGTAAAGAGGGTAACGTCTGCAAATAAAATACCTTTGAGATTTAAATATACTTCCTTGGAAATGAACTTTCTTCTGCATGTTGTAAACTTTACTGGATTTTAGCTCCGCCCTCCCCTGCTAATTAATGGAAGGGGGGAGGAAATCATATAAACAGAATGCAATGCATATTTACATACGATAAGACACAAACTTACCTTTGCGTGATAAATAAAGATAAATAAATGACTTAATAAAAACCAAGACACCACAACATGGCAGGCGTCGTTCATACCAAACACGGGAACGCAACGCAATGTAAAAGCATTCGCTTTGGTTTTTCGGACACAAGTGATTCACAAGCAGCTTTTCTTCACCTTTGGGGTTTTGACACATGAGCCACACAGATTCACAGGGCAACCGCTATTCAGAGCATTTACACATCGAAGTAAAGCTACATAGAC